GGGGATCAAACTAAGGTCAGCTGTTGGAGTTCTCCTCACACAACCCCTTGAACATTAGAGGTTGTTGGGCCTACAGGGAGTTCCCAGGTCCCAACTTCTCTGGAAACCGGCAGTTGCCAGGGAAATCTGAGATATCTAAGAATGACATAGATTAATTGGCCATGATTTGCTGGCAGCAGATGGCTCAAGACGTGGGAAACAGACATCTTTGGGTATCAGCAATAGCAATACTTCAACTTTGCTTCTCCTTTAGAACAGCAAGGACAGTGCTCCAGCAATTTCCTCCTAGTCATAACAATACCCTGCCTCCCTCTGCCACCTGCTCTTTAGTGCACATAAGCATATTTCCTCAGCTTCTACTTAACCATTATTTTTTCTAATAAACTTTGCCATATAACTACGAGTCTATGGCCTGTGTGTGTGGTTATGTCTTGGCCATGCTGTGCATATGAATCTGAGCACCCGATGTCCTAGACTGATGGATCATTTCTTCATTCCTGGGGTCCTCATAGTTATGAAATAACTACAGTCATCCACAAGCAAAGCAAGTGTCTTTACCTCCTGTACTATCTTTCTGACCCCAGAAGAAGACCGTAAATATGCATTATAACCTAAGAACTTGGTATTAGAAAAAAAATGAAGGAACAAGAAAAAAATTATACAGATAGGAAAATGAGAAAATGAAAAGAAAATAAGATGTGTCAATTAAGATTTGTAAGAATGATTATTGTTTCTTTGGCCTTTCCAAGGCTCACAAGAATATGGAAGAAGGCAGCATCTTTCTATCTATTAAAAAGAGAAAAAATGGCCAGAGAGGGGGAAAAGTACTTGCCTTGCATACAGACAGCACCACAAGGTCCCTGGACGCTACCAGGAGCAAAATCCAAGCATAGAGCCAGGAGTAGCCCCAAAGCCAAAGCATGCACAGTGTGAGTCACCCCCCCAAAAAAAAAGAAAATAATAAATTACACTTGAAATTATATCTTAAGACTAAATATATGGGTCAACCTGTGCCTGCGGGATGAGTGCATCAGCAGCCTGATGGTGCCTTCAGACTTCCAGATACGCCAAAATTGCTGCTTTGCCTTTGGCCAGACCCCAACAACTTGGGACAAAGTTTACCAAGAAATTAAATGGTCAAAAGTTAGGTATGTGGGAGCCATGCCCACAAATCACCTCTGACTCAGTTATACAAGCTCATTTATAGGCCTTATTTCAGAAACCCATAAATCTTGAAAGAGATCAAAAGCTAAAGTTAGGGCCAGCTGCACGACATAATGTGGGAGAGCGGGTACACCCTGCAGGACATATGCCAATAGTTTATTTCTCTGGAAAAGATGGAAACAAGAACCATGATCCAGAGACACACAAAAGAATCTCCAAACCAACCAGCTCGCTGCAGAGATGCCTCCGGACTTCAAGCCAGGTTCACTTCACCAGGGTGCCTCAGGCGAAGGCAGGCATCATCCCTCCACCTGCCCCATAAAAACTCCAACTTTCAGATCCCAATGAGAAATACAGATACACAGGTTCAGTAATGATAAAAATCCAGGCCTCAAGGGATAGGGGATGGGCCCATCCTTCTCATCCCCCCTGTCCCCATGGGACCCTGGAAGTCATGCCCATAAACTGCCTCCCGCTGCTACTTAAGGTCCTTAATGGCCATGATACAGAGACACACAAAAGAATTTCTGAACAGAGCAGCTTGCTGCAGAGATGCCTTCAGACTTTAAGCCAGGCTGACTTCACTGGGGTGCCTCAGATGGGAACAGGCATTGTCCCTCCACCTGCCCCCTAAAAACCCCAGTGGCCACCAATCTCCAGAACCCAATGAGAAATGCAGGTACGCAGGTTCAGTGATGGCAAACTCTGGTCCTTCTCATCCTCCGTCCCCATGGGACCCTGGATATCATGCCCACAACCTTCCTCTGGCTGCTACTTGATATCCTTAATGGGCCATGATCAAGAGACACACAAAGAAATCTCCTAACTGAGCAGCTTGCTACAGAGATTTCTCCAGACCCTAATTATCTAAAATTTTAGAATTCCAGGAGGGACATCTTATGTTATTCATAACAAGCAATACAAAAAAGAGTACGGGGGAGATTGTCTGCCATCGAGGCAGAGGGAGGGATTGGATGGGTAGGATTACTGGGGACTTTGATGGTGGAAGATGTGCACTGGTGGAGGGTTGGGTGATCAATCATTGTATGACTGAAACTCAAACATGAAAGCTTTGTAACTGTATCATGGTGATTAATAATAATAAATGAAATAAAATTAACATTCTGAATTTAAAAAAAAGTATGTGGAGTTCATGCTCAATTCAATCAGCTTAATCAATGGCTGAATAAATACCAGTACTCCTACAGTAAACAAAAGACTAAAGATAAATACCATTATTTGTCAAATCTGATCCAAATAATAGTTTTTTCTTCTTTAGAAGTAAACACTGTAAAGATAATATGGAAAAGCATACAAATAAAATTTTTACTCTTAATAATGGTTAATAACTGAGGAAAGTAGTCTCTTCAGTTATACAAATTTCATTGTTATCATCAAAGATCCTATATGTTCATAAGACTGTTCTCTCTTTCTTTGGTGGTGGTGTGCAGGTGGGTCACACCTTTGTGCTATGCTCCTGGCTATGCTCTGAGAGATCACTCCCTAATAAGGAGTGGGACCATATACAGGCTGGATATTGGATTAAACCCAGGTCAGCTGTGTGCAAGTTAACTGAATTACCCTCTGTACCATCTCTCTGGTCTTTGGACTATTAAAATAAAACAAACCTTAGTGACATTTATATTCCTAGAGCTTGGATAGTGCCTTATCCATAGTGTATATAAATTGTGAAAGAATGTTGTAAACAAGTTTACATGTCTGGTCTCTCCTTCTATAATTTAAGATTCATGAAGGGAAGATCTATTCTTCTCACTTCTGACATCAGAATTTAGCACAGTAAATGTTTAATAATCCACTGTTTTGCAGTTTATAAAGTTGGGATTTGTGAAATAATTAGAAATTAGATAAATTAGAAATAATTAGTGAAATTAGAATTTCACTGTCAAAGGTAATAGTCTACCCAATTGCTGTGCTATGTCTGCACATTCTCCTCTCTGTTCCCAAATTTCACTGACTACTTATAAACTTATAAATTAGAGACAGTATAAGAAAAAAGAATGAATTACAAATAGAAATAAAATGACAGCTTGGGAAAAAACTATAAGTATTTTTGAATTATAGACAAAGCTACTTTCCTTTAAACATAAGGGATTCCTTGTAAATAAGCACATAAAAAACCTAATAACAATAAGAACATTAAAATCCACATAAATATTGACATTTCTTAAATATATAAAAGTATAAGTATCAATCATAAGACATATAGATGAAAGCCACATGGAGAACACATGATCTAAAATGAATAACCACATCAACTTTACAACTTAAGGAATTAGAGAAGAATAAACTAAGACCAATGATTTTGGAAGAAACAAAACACTGAAGACTAGAGCAGAGATGAATAGAGAATATGAAAGCAATACAAAAAATTAAAAAGGTTGTTTCTTTGAAAATATCAATAAAAATAATAAGTCTCTAGCAAAATGGACTAAAAAGGAAACTAAAATAAAAAATAAGTCTTACTTTTTAAAATAAATCATAAAGAAATTAAGAATCTAAAGCCTATATAACTATTAGGGAAACTGAATAAGTAATCAAAAATCTTCTAACAAGAGCTGGAGCCATAGTACAGTGGGTAGGGCATTTTCCTTTCACTTAGCCAACCAGAGTTTGATCCTGTCACCCCATATGTTACACAGAGCTACCTTGGAGTTATTTCCGAGCTCAGTGCAGACAGGAGTAAGCTCTGAGCACCATTGAGTATGGCCCCCAAACAAAATAAACAAACAAATAAAATCCACCTTGCCCTTAACAGCATCAATTTTACAAGATGAAAGAAGCAATGGAAATAGTTGGTGGTGATAGATGCGTAATATGACACTATTTAACACTAACAAACTGAACACTAACTAACTGGTTAAGATAATAACTTTAATGTTATATGTATATAAACACAGTAATTAAAAATGCTTAATTTCACTACGCTGCCACTTGAAAAAAATTACTTAAAGAAGAGAAAAAATCTTCAATTTTCATAATAAGTTTAGTTAACTAGATTACAGATTGAAAAGTGGGTGAGGGAGGAAGGGTCTTATATACACTGTTGCCAGGAGATAAAGACTGGACAGAGCTCTCATGTAAAGCAATTTGACAGAATCAACTGCCAAATCATACTAAACATAGTACCTTAGAAAACTCAACTAACAAAATTCCTTGTATATAAAGCAAAATAAGGTTTATAAAAAAACATTCTTCACAAAAAAATTCATACTAACCCCAAACAAAATAGAAGCCAAACTGATGAGACATGTTAACTCCACAAAACAGGAAATCAAGCAACTAAGTAAAGAGATGCTGCTTGTGCAATGATATGGAATAATCACTATATTGTATATAATTATATATCTAACATAAAGTTAAAAAGGTGCTTGATAATGTATATAACTTGATACTCTTTGTAAAACTATGGGGATAAAATGCATTTATATCTGCTTTGCTATATGCATCAACTCTAGAGGGATATACTAGAACCTTTTATCTCATTTTTCACTTTGAGTCAAACTGTCAGTAGTCAGGGGTAACTCTCAGTTTGGTGCTCAATATTTTTCCTGGTAGTGCTCAGGGATATAGTGCCAGGGACAGAACCTGGGACTTCCACATTCAAACTGTGCACTCCACCCTTTGAGCCATCTCCCCTCCCCTATATGAGAAACTATTAACAGCAGTTCCTATATGTATGAGGGAAGGGCTTGAATTTTTGGACATCTTTTACTACACAAATGAAATTAAGAGTCATGCAAATAAATTATTTTAAAATGCCATATTCTTACAAGATGATTGTTTATTAATAAAAAAACTATTCTCTGAAATCTTACCTGAAAACTAGCCACAAAAGAATCCTCACAATTTACATAATGTCCTAACATGGCATGTTGTGCCCGTAATTCATTATCCCTTATCCTCTCATGTAGGTGAGTAATCTGCTGCTTCTGCCTACAAAACACAAATGAGGCCAAATTATAAATATATCCAAGTCAAGAGAAAGACAAATACCAAATGATCTCATAAAGAAACAAAAGCAAGGAAAAATGACAATGTCCAGTGAAAATAAACCATGAGATATTAACCAAAGAACTAAAGTTACCAAGTGGATTTAAAGAATGGAGAGGCAGAGGCATTGGTTCAGTAGATTGCTGTGCAGAAACACTGGCTCTCAGGCAATGGACATGGTATGCCTCCAAATATTAAAATATTCCATAAATATTTACTGTCTGGGATGGAGCGATAGCACAGTGGGTTGGGCGTTAGCCTTGCATGCAGCCAACATGGCCAACCCGAGTTCGATTCCTCCGCCCCTCTTGGAGAGCCCAGAAAGCTACCGAGAGTATCTTGCCTGCACGGCAAAGCCTGGCAAGCTACCCAAACACAGTAACAAGTTTCACAATGTTACTGGGCCCGCTCGAACAAATCAATGAACAACGGGAGAATAGTGATAGTGATTTACTGTCTTAAACATTTATTACAATATGCTTCATATGTCTATACAATTATTTAAACTATACTTTTCTAAAAGATTAGTGAAAAAATCACTGAGAATTTATAAAAATAAAAAAAATAGATCTTAAAATTCCTGATAGAAAGTTTTAAAAAAATCATAGTACTAAATATATAGAATAAGAGTATATTCATTATATAGAGAATCTGTAATTTTATACAATTGTCTTTTGTAAAATAACTTTTACTAATAAAGTAAGGATTTGCTTTCTTCTTGTTATAGAACAAAATGAATATTTGTAATGCCTTAACCTTAAAATAATTGTTTCCATTTACACAAATTCTGTTCAACAGAATCACTGAAGTTCTTAAGAATCTCACTGTCAAAGATAATAGTCTACCCAATTGCTGTGCTATGTCTGCACATTCTCCTCTCTACAACATCCCAAATTTCACCGACTACTTATAAACTTCACTGATTATGAAGAACTCAGTGACAAATTTGAATCTTGAGATAACTGTGACATTTGAGTAGTATAATCTCATTTTGAACAAACTGAGGTTCAAAGCTTTCCTCTTCAGCTTATAGCATAATTTAATCAACTTGTAACAGCTTTCTGAATATGTACTTCAAATATGTAAGATACATTTGAAAACTGTTACATGTCATATGCCAATGCTAAGAGCTTTCTATATATATTTCTGGGAATAGTTTCTATAGCATGATTTATTTACAGAGCAATAAAGTATCAAGTTAAAATAAATTCATAAAATTAAGTTTACTTAGGATCTGAGTATGAGTATATTTGAAAAAATACTCCTATTATCCTCCTCCCTACAACATATATGTTTCACTGAAATATGATTTTGTTATTCCTACTATTCAGAGGTGAAACTTACTAACCATACAACCTACAAAATGTAATACATTTTGAGTGAGGTATTAGTTCTAAACATAAGCCTCAATTTATCTCATCATGTGTTATTTTCTCTTAGAACTTAACTACCATATGTACAAACCCAGGCTAGTGTGCTAGGGCATGAGACACCACATGGAATATAAGCCATGCCTAATCACCACTGGGGGGCCCCACTCCACCCCCCCCACACCCAAAAAAACCCCAAAAGCAAAGAAAATTATATTTCTCAGAAATGATATAATAAATTTTGTATTTTGCAATTACTCTTTGTGATGCATCCGTATTTGTGTAAATATATATAAATGTACATATATTATAAACAAATACCCAATACATAGATTAACTTACATGTGTCTGTTTTGTACAATTTTTGTGTAATGTTATTTAATATCTATATTGTATTTCACTTGAGGCAAATTCTATAAAATTGAGAAATAATTTTGTTCTCTTTAAAAATCAGTTCTTTCTTAAATATCCTCTTTATAAAGCCTTATAAGCCAGTATTGCCTCAAAAATTAGAACCAAGAAAATTGCTGTCTATAAGCTGACAAAAAATTCCAGATAATAAATATCTATTGTTCATAATAGTTAGACTATTGTTATTACAGTTAGATTGACAGCTATTAATTTGTATCTGATAGAATGGAGTGGTTAAAAAAATAAAGTAAATTTATTCTGATTTAGGAAGTACATCTACAGTAATAAAACCCTGAAGATTTGTAAATATTAATTTCACAAATGTACAGTTTTACGTGTTTACAGTTTAAGTATTTAAGTGTTTGAAATACTACTCACTGAATATACAAACTTCATTTGAACTAGAAATATAAAATCTATAAGTATCTTTTATGTAATGCCAAAACTATTTTCTACACTAGCTATTCTTGATAGTATGAAACTATCAAGAATTAAGCACATACTAGATGCCAGGCTCTGTTTGAGATGTTAGGAACATAGAGGGGAAAAAAGGAAGTCCAAAACTCCAGTTTATATTCCAGCAGATTTTTACTAATAAGGATACACGTCTAAGATGACTATTTTGATATTTCCACTACTTAATATCCTAGAAAGCTTGAATTAGAATTTAATTTTAAAACTTGGGGAGGGGGGAATCACACCTCATAGTACACAGGATCTCAACGAGCTTGATTTTCAGGATTTCTCCAGATGCATTTGGGGAACCAAGCCATGCCTGGGATCAAACCTGGTCTTTCTGCATGCAAAGCATGTGCCTTAGCCCTCTAAACTGTCTCTCTGACCCCAGAATTTAAATTTAAAGCTATAAAGCTTTAATTTAATGGCAACTAATTAGCAATTAGCAATATGTACCCTAAAAATGAGAAAGAGCTTTCAAAAAAAATATTCCAAGGTGAATGAGAAGAGAGTAGAAAATAGCTTGATTAACTAACTTACCAACTGCTGTGATTCTTAAAAGAACTGGAATTGAAAGAGACAGGCATGCGACATAAATATATTAGTTAGGTTCTATTTTTTTTAATTTTTTAATTTTGTTTGGGGGCAATGTTGAGGGTTACTCCCAGAGATGCTCAGGTGGCCACACAGTGCTGGGATCAAACCTCCTGCCTGCAAAGAATAAACTCAGCCCACTGAGCTATCTCTCCAGCCCTCAGTGGTTCTATTTCTTAAATGTAAAGTAGTAGGTATGAATAAATTTGCTGTATTGATCTGTACTTTCATATGTCTAAAATGTTTGATGATTATACTGGGAATATTAGTGGAGGGAAATGGACACTGGTGAAGGAATTGGTGCTCAAGCATTCTTCTGAAACTCAATCATGAATGACTTTGCAACTCTGTAATCCACGAGATTCAATAAATTAATTTAAAAAAAGAAAAACAGATTTACCGGTCAATTACAATTTCCTTCTGTCTCAGAAGTCCTTCTTTTATTTTCAGCACTGATTCCCACTTACTGAAATCCTGATAGCCAGTAGATGGATAACACTGACGAGTTGATCCAGTCAAAACCTGCACAAACATTTTATGCTATTAGTATATAAAAGTGTCTATAAGAAATATTCCTTTACCATCTGCTATTTTACTAATATTTCAATTCTAAAGTAGTCTTAAAAATGAGAAAGAGTTGCTAAAAATCACACTTGGGAATATAACTTGAATTTTATATGTCTTAAAGTAAAGTGAAAAACTGATGAAAGCAAAATGCTTAATCTATTTTGTTTTAATAACATAAGATCTTTTCTCATTACCTTGAAGGAGTTATAGAAAGAGTAGATTAATAAACTAAAAGATTAATCATTCCAAGAAAGGAGTACAATAAAAGAATGTACCACAGCTAGACAAACATTACTGGAATAATTGCCAAAACACAAAACTTTCTCATTATTAATATGGAATAAATTTAACATTTGGATTCATCTGCAGTCCTACAATAGATATTTGGAGACATTCTTAGGACTGAGAGGATGATTCTATGAAGTAATTTTTAAAATTCAACTTCTAAATTTTGAAAGTTCTCAAGATGCTCCCCAAAACAAACCAGCAGTGAGGCAGACTTCAAAAATTTTTCCATGTCAAAAAAAAAATTCTAGGAAAAACACTAGCTTCATGAGAGAGACAAGACAGAAATGGAAATCACCTCTGAAAAGACACTTACATATAAGTATCATCCTTTAAAACCATCTCCACGGAAAGATAAAATCAGTGGAAAAGGAAGAATTTAAATTATCTAACCTTGTAACTGAGCTTCCCTTTCTTCCCATATTGCTCTACTAGTAATTTTAAAAAGACATCTAAGAACACTTGTATCTCCCCCATGTGTTCTGGAAATATACGGATTATTAATAAATTTTTCTTGTCAAAATAATTTTTATCTTATCAGAAAAGCCTACAAAGACTAATAAACAAATATTTGCTCATAATAACCATAAACTGGGATTTATCCTGTGCCCACTGATAAACTGTCATATCCATTAAATTTAATACTATTAATAAACAATAGTTACAAACAACAATATAAATACCCAAAAGTATTATGCAAAGTGAAATCAAACACAAAAGGTCACATACTGTCTGATTCTATTTATACAGCATCTAGAAAGAACACAGTTATAAAGAGAGAAATCAAATCAGACGTTGTAGGCTGTACAATGATGCAAACTGTTCATTTTTACTTATTTGTGGGGATTCCTTGGGTCACACCCGCAGTGCTAAAGGGCTATTCCCAGCTATGTGCTTGAGAGAGAATACCCCCTGCACTGCCCCATCAGTGCTTAGAGGACCCTGTGGTCCCATGATGGAACCAGAGTCAGCAGTCTGCAAGGTAAATGCCTTAATTCCTGTTCTCTCTATGGACCTTCATTTTTAAAGGTTGTATATTATTATATATACGTCAATAATGCTTACTTACATGCAATTAACCAAGGTTTGATCCCCAGCATCACATATATTCCCCCAAGCATCACCAGGAATGATCCCTGAGCACAGAATCAAAAGCAATGCCTGATCACAACTACATGTGGCCCAAAAACAAAGGAGGGAAAGGAACGAGGAAGAAGAGGAGGAAGAGGAGGAGAAGGAGGAGGAGGAGGAGGAGGAGGAGGAGGAGGAGGAGGAGGAGGAGGAAGAAGAAGAAAAAGAGTAATCTACAAACCAAAGACTTGTGACTTTTATGCATAGAGACCCCAACCATCCAAATTTATAGACCCTTAAGGTTCCTACAAGCATCTCACTGAAAACAAATACCAAACTGCTTTTTAATAATCAAATAAGAGTTATGAGTATCTACAATAAGGCTATTTAGAACAATCCCAAATATGTGCTACTTAGATGATACCCAGATGCTATAAGAGTTGCCAGATTATGTCACTCAATGGTCAAACATGTTTCTAAAATAAGCTTACTATATTGTAGCTGAAAATAGTTCAAAATTCTTTGGCATTAGCCTGGACAAATAGTTAAATTTAGATAACCTAGTGCTACCACACTTAACTGAAATACAACCTCTGCAATTCTTCAACTTTGTTATCGCTCCTTCACTTGCCTTTGTTTCTGAACACATTCATCACTCACAACATGTCAAATTGCACAACAAATCCTCCTCAATTTCTGGAATAGTTTATCTAAAGACTTACAAATACATTTTGGTATAAATGTACCTTATCTGAAAATAGATTCACATGCTCAATAATGAAAATGAAAATAAACTACAAATTATGTAAGATTTTAAAATGCTTTTAATTTACCATAAAAGAAATGTTGGCTCAGAGTACAAAAAAAACCCTGTACATTAAAATAAATATTGCATCCTATATGCTATTACTAAAGTAACTATTTAGCAAAGACTATATTTCTTAATTAAGCCCATGTAAGTATTTAAGAAGTGTATTACTATAATTTTTTCTTAACAAAATAAAAAATTATAAATCTTATAAAAATGCCATCTATAATTTATTCAGGGTGATCCATTATATATTGGTTTGAGTTGAACAGCAGGTAAGGTAGCCTTGCACACAGCCAACTGAGTTCAATCTCTGGTACCCCATTATGGCTTCCCAAGTACTAACAGAGGTGATCTGTGAGTGCAGAGCCAAGAAAGCCCAGAGCACAGCTGGGTGCGGCCCCCAAACAAAAAGGAACTATGTTTTTAAAGCTAAAAAATTTGTGCCCAAGACATAATATAGTGAATAATGCACCAGTCTTGCATGAGACCAACCTGGATTTGATCCCCAGAACATATGTGGTTCCCCCAACACCTGACAGGAGTGACCCCTGAGTAGAGCCAGGAGTAACCTCTGAGCATTGTTGGGTATGCCCAAATACCCCCTCCCCAAAGTCCTTTAATTTTTGTTTATCATTAATGTGTTACATAATTTTACCCTCTAGCCAGAGCTTCTTAAATTTTTGTCCGCTCATGGTCCCTTTTCATCCTAGAAAAGCAACACAGTGAACACTGCCAGAAACTTTCGGGCACATAAAGGTGCTCGACTTAGAATTTTCTCTATGGACAAGAAACCTTTAAAAATGTTTGTTACCATCCTCCATATTCAATTAATTCATGGGGTTGTGATTCAAGATTTAAGAAGCTAGGTGCTAAACAATTATATTTGTACTGACTTAATCCTTTGGGGGGAGGAAGTGTTGTGAGTCTGTGCTAGTTAATATTAAGTCCTCATTTTGAATTGCATAACTCCTTGAATTCAAGGAGTGTTGTCTAAAGGCTGGTTTACTAGAAACCATTATCTTGGGGTTACACAATCTAAGGGCTGACTTTCTTGTTTTTCTGGCAGGCTCTTTTTCAGTCCTATGGCTGAACATGTTGCTAAAGTGGATCAATATATAACCAAGGAAAATATCGTGAAACTATGTAACTATAGAAAAACACTGTTGATATCCAGAAACCCAGTACATTCTAAACTTATGTATCCTGAAGATTCCTGGATATTTTTCCAATGTATGCTTTATTCTAGAAACCTATAAGTCTGTTACTTGTTCAAGAAAGACGTTGCATGAGCATTACTTGTCAGTCCTCCTTACCCTGTTGTTCTTCTCCCTCTGCCTCAGGGACTCTGTTCGACTTAGCAATGCAGGACAAGGCAAGAAAGGAATATTTTCCTCTCAAGTATCAATCTAGGGCTTGGAGATGCATCAGCTGTATGCAGATCATCTGTTTTTTTAGTGTGAGGGTGCTGAGACCTCAAGTTATATCTTCAGGATTGCCCACTAGTCAAGTTCATCCCCAGTGGCTCTACTATATGCAATTCATGGCACCAGGGCAAAGTATGTGATCTTCTATGCAAGTTACAACCAAGCATACAAGCACTCTAACTAAAGAGCAAGAACCTCAATCAAATGTTTGATCCCTCAAGTATACACCTCAACCAACATGTGAGTATCAAGTGCGAGACCATAACAACGCTGCAACCAAAGTGTGTACCAGCACCACAACAAAAGCTGCAAATCCCACTGAGCTCTACAAATCATAGTGAAACATAAAGAGGAGCCCCGTAATCACAGAAATAGAAACAAAGGGAAAAGGGGAAAATTAACTGAAGGAATGAATTACAAATAAATGGCTCACACCTGTTTTAGTAGTATCATGTTTCTTGCTGTAGTTTTTTAGTTTTGTTTGTTTTATGATCCAGGGATGAAACCCAGGGCTTTACACATGACAAGAACATGTTCTACCACTGAGCTACATCAATAAGCCCATATGATGGATCTTTGCTGTGGTCATTTTATTAATGCAAAAAAGGAATGGCCCCTACTACATAAAACATGATCTCAATTACAGTCATAATACGGTGGTCAAGGAGAGAAACAATATATTCAAGATTGAGAAGCAAATTCCTATCTGTAAGAAAATAATCACAAGGTCGAAACACAGTAGCTTAAGTCTTCAAGTGTGATGTCAAAATAAATTTTAACTATAAAATGAAATGCAGTTTTTCCAAATGCTGTTACTATCATTTCCTTCTTTTTTTCATTTTTTATAATTTTATTTATTGAATCACCATGAGAGCAGTTACAAAGCTTTCAGGTCTAAGTCTCGGTCATGCAATGAAACACCCGTACCTTCACCAGTGCCCATTCTCCACCACCAAAAAACCCAGTATGCCCACATCCCACACCCTCCCCCTACCTGTGGGGCAGATGATTTCCACATTACTCTCTCTCTACTTTGGTCACATCCAATATTTCAACACCAGACCCACCATTATTATTTGAGATTTTACCTCAACACTCAGATCTGCTGAAAAGGCAACAGTAGACAATTTGTGTTCTATTGCTGGTTATGAATAACATATGATGTCGCATGGCTGCAGTAGGGCCGCGTGATTTTGAAATTCCGAAATTTTAACACTTAAATCTGGAGGGATTTCTGCCAAAAGCCACTGGGTTTCGAGATTTGCTTCTGAGTCTCTGGGATCATGGTCGTTGAGCAGCTTGATCAGGAGCCAGAGAGGCCGTTCGTGGGCAATGACTTGGGGTCTCGTTGGGAAGGGGAGAAT